TCGAGGTCTAGGGCTCCATACAAATTTTAGGATTTTTTTTTTTTCTATTTCTGAAAAATGCCATTGGAATTTTGATAGAGATTGCACTGTATCTGTAGATTGCTTTAGCTAGTATGGACATTTTAACAATATTATTAGCAAGCATGGAATACCTTTTGTTTCTGTATTCTTCAGTTTATTTCATCAATGTCTTATACTTTTCAGTGTACAGGTCTTTTACCTCCTTGGTTAAATTTATTCCTAGGTATTTATTCTTTTTGATGTGATTGAAATTGGGAGTTTTCATAATTTCTCTTTCTGATAGTTTATTACTGTGTAGAAATACAGCTGATTTTTGTATATTGATTATGTATCCTGTAACTTTACTGAATTTGTTTATTAGTTCTAACAGTTTTTTGGTTGAGGCTTTAAAAACCTATTTTTCAGTACTTCTGGAAGTAGAAGTTCTCTAAAAGGCCAGAATCTGCCATGTACTTCTCTTCTGCAATAAAAAGAGAAGTGCATGTAAAAAGTAACACAGTTCAGTAGAGGCAGCTGAGATGTGGATGAGAAGCAGAGAGGATTGGCAGTGGCAGAGAGAGGTGGAATAAGATGAAAAAGTACTTTTCAGCGATAATCCATGAGGCTTTCGCATATCACATGGTTATCTTCGTGTCTATTGATTGATTTATTTTCAGAAAAATCTCATGGAGAAGTCTGGGAGGAACTATTAGGATAGCCTTGTAGGTCCAGGTGAAAGGTAAGAATTTGAACTGAAGCTGCGACTAGAATTAATGATAAAGAGGGAAATTTGAGAAAAAAATTTAAAAGATTTTGTCATTAAGAAAAGGTTAAATGATGTTTCATGTAATCCATCTCTAAAAGATTTATTTTGATTACCCGTCAAAAATAAGGTAGTGATGTTTGGCATTTAAAGGGATGTTTCAGTTATTTTGAAATTTTACATTTGTGCAGCAACCTTGTTTTCTCATGAAGTCAGATAAATGAGGCATTCGGGATGCATATAATTTTTGCTCTTCTAATCTTTTAAAGCTTTTTAATCTTTTGAGAAGACATTTTGAAACAGATGAAATAGAGTATCTAAAAGACTGTTTTCGGTATCAGCTTTCTCTGATTAGGAAACTGAGGCACAAGGATTTAAGTAACTTCTTACTGATACTGTGCAGCATGTTGGCTGTAGAATCAATGTCAAATATGTCTGGTTACTGCATTTTCCTCACTCCTGTCTATAAAATGTACTTACTGCTAATATTTCTCTGTGAAAAAGTCGGGGGAGGGACTAGGTTTTCATTGCCAATTTTACATAAGCATTTAAATTATTCTCCCTTGAAGAAATAGCAACATGTCTTTGTTGTCTTTTGACTACCTAGATTCTATGGCATATAAAAACATTTCATTTAATACAGTAAAGCTCTCTGGCCTGCAGTAATTTATTTTTGGAAACATTGTGGGATCAGTTTCCACCCTGAAGAAAGAGATGAAATGGGATCCCTAATGAGAGCTATATATTAGCTTGTAGCTCTCAAGCTTTGAAACTGGTGATGAAAAACAGGGACAAAGTATCTTTCCCTCTGTCTTTCTCTAAGGACAATTTTTTGCGGTGGGGGTGGTGTGCATCTTGTGGGATCTCGGTTCCCTGACCAGGGATTGAACCGGGGCCACAGCAGTTAAAGCCTGGAATTCTAACCACTGGGCCACCAGGGAACTCCCTCTAAGGACATATTTTAAAAATGTAATCCTGTCCATTAAATATGATAGTAAAAAATAACTTGTTCCTTGATTTTTTTTTTTTTTTTTTTAACTAAAAACGTTTCCCCTCCTTCATCCTTTGCACTATTCAAGTGATAAATATTTGCTGGCTGTAGAATTTATTGGCATGAATAAGAGTTCTGATTCTTTCCAGCCTGGTAGTCCTTCAACTTCATCTCCCAAACTTAATAACTAATATTCATGTAGGACTTCACCTTTGACAGCACATTTGTTGTTGTTGTTGTTGTTAGTTGCCATTGAATGACCACTCTTTGCCTGCTACCAAACCAGAACCTTTATACACATTATATCATTTAATTTTTACAACTTTATGAGAAGTATTATTACACCCATTGCTACTTAAGAAAACTGAGGCTCAAGGAGTTAAATAACTTTTATAGCTAAAATAAAAAGCCAGCATTTTATAATTGGCTCTTACTGCCTACTATTGTATGGTTTATGCCACATTGACCTTCCAAACTGATTCTTATCAGAAACATCTTACTTGTTTTGAAGAATTTACATATATACTTGGGTGAGCACGAATACATACATAGGTGTGGAAGCAAAAAGACTGCACCAAAATGTTAGTAGTGGTTATCTCTGGATGGTGAGTTTTATGAGTGCTTTAGGTTTCTTATTCTTTGTATTTATTTGTATTTTCTGCAAATATGAACATATATTTATATTATCTTGTAATAAACATTTTTATGTTACATATTGAACTTAACAGTAATTGAGAAATGACATTTCTAATTTACTATTGCTTATTTCTAGATCGGTTGGCCTTACTTCCCCAGTGGAAATCTAGTCATTATGATGTGGTAGTTGGTGTGCTGTCAGCCCGCAATAACCATGAACTTCGCGATGTGATAAGAAGCACCTGGCTGAAGCATTTAGTACAGCACCCAGCATTAAGTCAACGGTACGTTTCTTTTTTTTGGCTGCATTGTGTCTTCGTTGCTGCACGTGGGCTTTCTCCAGTTGCGGCAAGCGGGGGCTACTGTTCGTTGCAGTGCGCAGGCTTCTCATTGCAGTGGCTTCTCTTGTGGTGGAGCACGGGCTCCAGGTGTGCGGGCTTCAGTAGTTGCAGCGCATGGGCTCAGTAGTTGTGGCACGCAGGCTCAGTAGTTGTGGTGCACGGGCTTAGTTGCTCCGCGGTGTGTGGGATCTTCCCGGACCAGGGCTTGAACCCGTGTCCCCTGCATTGGCAGGCAGATTCTTAACCACTGCACCAGCAGGGAAGCCCCAACGGTAGGTTTCTTGAGTTCACACCTTACGTGACGTATTGAATAAGTGTTCTGAAAAATCTCTTCTTGGAGAGTCAGAGATGTTAATTCAGATATGTGACCTCTTTTCCTCAGAGAAATGACTATTTCATTTTGCTTTTTCTCCACATAGTTAAGCCCAAAAAGTAAATCTAACCAAGATTTTAAGCCAAAAGAGATATACTTAATTTTTTTCAGTTCTGTATCATTTGGTCGTGTGTGATCTGCAGTTTGTATAGTTTGCCATACTCTTTTTCCCGACCACCTTTCCAGGCCTGAGCTTGGGTAGCACGTCACATGTTGACATTAGATGTCTCGGTTGTTGGTTAGGAACGCAAGGCCTTAGTCTTCTCAGGGAAAGCAGCCTCTGAAGATTATATAGTGAGGGACTAGTGGAAGCAAAGCATGGAAGTTTGGACTTCTAGTTATGTGACGATTCTTCTCTGCTTATGCCAAGTCACTGATAAGCAGAGAAGGCCCTCAGGATTGCGTTCAGCTGGCATGCTTGTGACTGAGTGGCGATACGAGGGAATCACAATTGTGAATTTTCTTGTCACCAGTAGTGAACATTTATAGATTTCCTATCTTACTCATAGCAGCTTTTTTTTTTTTAACATCCTTATTGGAGTATAATTGCTTTACAATGGTGTGTTAGTTTCTGCTTTATAACAAAGTGAATCAGTTATACGTATGTTCCCATATCTCTTCCCTCTTGCGTCTCCCTCCCTCCCACCCTCCCTATCCCACCCCTCTAGGTGGTCACAAATCACCAAGCTGATCTCCCTGTGCTATGCGGCTGCTTCCCACTAGCTATCTATTTTACTTTTGGTAGTGTATATATGTCCATGCCACTCTCTCACTTTGTCACAGCTTACCCTTCCACCTCCCCATATCCTCAGGTCCATTCTCTAGTAGGTCTGTGCCTTTATTCCTGTCTTACCCGTAGGTTCTTCATGACATTTTTTTCCCTTAGATTCCATATATATGTGTTAGCATACGGTATTTGTCTTTCTCTTTCTGACTTACTTCACTCTCTGTGACAGACTCTAGGTCCATCCACCTCACTACAAATAACTCAGTTTCGTTTCTTTTTATGGCTGAGTAATATTCCATTGTATATATGTGCCACATCTTCTTTATCCATTTATCCGATGATGGACACTTAGGTTGTTTCCATTCCTGGCTATTGTAAATAGAGCTGCAATGAACATTTTGGTACACGACTCTTTTTGAATTATGGTTTTCTCAGGGTATATGCCCAGTAGTGGGATTGCTGGGTCATATGGTAGTTCTATTTGTAGTTTTTTAAGGAACCTCCATACTGTTCTCCATAGTGGCTGTACCAATTCACATTCCCACCAGCAGTGCAAGAGTGTTCCCTTTTCTCCACACCCTCTCCAGCATTTATTGTTTCTAGATTTTTTGATGATGGCCATTCTGACTGGTGTGAGATGATATCTCATTGTAGTTTTGATTTGCATTTCTCTAATGATTAATGATGTTGAGCATTCTTTCATGTGTTTGTTGGCAGTCTGTATATCTTCTTTGGAGAAATGTCTATTTAGGTCTTCTGCCCATTTTTGGATTGGGTTGTTTATTTTTTTGTTATTGAGCTGCATGAGCTGCCTGTAAATTTTAGAGATTAATCCTTTGTCAGTTGATTCATTTGCAAATATTTTCTCCCATTCTGAGGGCTGTCTTTTGGTCTTGTTTATGGTTTCCTTTGCTGTGCAAAAGCTTTGAAGTTTCATTAGGTCCCATTTTTGTTTATTTGTTTTTATTTCCATTTCTCTAGGAGGTGGGTCAAAAAGGATCTTGCTGTGATTTATGTCCTAGAGTGTTCTGCCTATGTTTTCCTCCAAGAGTTTGATAGTTTCTGGCCTTACATTTAGGTCTTTAACCCATTTTGAGCTTATTTTCGTGTACGGTGTTAGGGAGTGTTCTAATCTCATACTTTTACTTGTACCTGTCCAGTTTTCCCAGCACCACTTATTGAAGAGGCTGTCCTTTCTCCACTGTACATTCCTGCCTCCTTTATCAAAGATAAGGTGACCATATATGCATAGGTTTATCTCTGGGCTTTCTATCCTGTTCCATTGATCTATCTTTCTGGTTTTGTGCCAGGACCATACTGTCTTGATTATTGTAGCTTTGTAGTATAGTCTGAAATCAGGGAGGCTGATTCCTCCAGCTCCATTTTTCGTTCTCAAGATTGCTTTGGCTATTCGAGGTCTTTTGTGTTTCCATACAAAGTGTGAAATTTTTTGTTCTACTTCTGTGAAAAATGCCAGTGGTAGTTTGATAGGGATTGCATTGAATCTATAGATTGCTTTGGGAAGTAGAGTCATTTTCACAATGTTGATTCTTCCAATCCAAGAACATGGTATATCTCTCCATCTGTTTGTATCATCTTTAATTTCTTTCATCAGTGTCTTATAATTTTCTGCATACAGGTCTTTTGTCTCCTTAGGTAGGTTTATTCCTAGATATTTTATTCTTTTTGTTGCAATGGTAAATGGGAGTGTTTTCTTGATTTCACTTTCAGATTTTTCATCATTAGTGTATAGGAATGCCAGAGATTTCTGTGCATTAATTTTGTATCCTGCTACTTTACCAAATTCATTGATTAGCTCTAGTAGTTTTCTGGTAGCATCTTTAGGATTCTCTATGTATAGTATCATGTCATCTGCAAACAGTGACAGCTTTACTTCTTCTTTTCCGATTTGGATTCCTTTTATTTCCTTTTCTTCTCTGATTGCTGTGGCTAAAACTTCCAAAACTATGTTGAATAAGAGTGGTGAGAGTGGGCAACCTTGTCTTGTTCCTGATCTTAGTGGAAGTGCTTTCAGTTTTTCACCATTGAGGACGATGTTGGCTGTGGGTTTGTCATATATGGCCTTTATTATGTTGAGGAAAGTTCCCTCTGTGCCCACTTTCTGCAGGGTTTTTTATCATAAATCGGTGTTGAATTTTGTCGAAAGCTTTCTCTGCATCTATTGAGATGACCAAATGGTTTTTCTCCTTCAATTTGTTAATATGGTGTATCACATTGATTGATTTGCATATATTTGAAGAATCCTTGCATTCCTCGAATAAACCCCACTTGATCATGGTGTATGATCCTTTTTTTTTTTTTTTTTTTTTTTTTTTTTCTTGCGTTATGCGGGCCTCTCACTGTTGTGGCCTCTCCCATTTGCGGAGCACAGGCTCCGGACGCGCAGGCTCAGTGGCCATGGCTCACGGGCCCAGCCGCTCCGCGGCATGTGGGATCTTCCCGAAACGGGGCACGAACCCGCGTCTCCTGCATCGGCCCCGGTGTATGATCCTTTTAATGTGCTGTTGGATTCTGTTTGCTAGTATTTTGTTGAGGATTTTTGCATCTGTGTTCATCTGTGATGTTGCCTGTAGTTTTCTTTCTTTGTGACATCTTTGTCTGGTTTTGGTATCAGGGTTTTAGTGGCCTCGTAGAATGAGTTTGGGAGTGTTCCTCCATCTGCTGTATTTTGGAAGAGTTTGAGAAGGATAGGTGTTAGCTCTTCTCTAAATGTTTGATAGAATCGCCTGTGAAGCCATCTGGTCCTGGGCTTTTGTTTGTTGGAAGATTTTTAATCACAGTGTCAATTTCAGTGCTTGTGATTGGTCTGTTCATATTTTCTGTTTGTTCCTGATTCAGTCTTGGCAGCTTGTGCATTTCTAAGAATTTGTCCATTTCTTCCAGGTTGTCCTTTTTTTTTTTGGAGTTCGCGGGCCTCTCGCTGCCGTAGCCTCTCCCGCTGCAGAGCACAGGCTCCGGATGCGCAGCCCCAGCGGCCATGGCCCACAGCCAGCCGCTCCACGGCATGCAGGATCCTCCCGAACCGGGGCACGAACCTGTGTCCCCTGCATCGCCAGGCAGACTCTCAACCACTGTGCCACCAGGGAAGCCCCAGGTTGTCCATTTTATTGGCATAGAGTTGCTTGTAGTAATCTCTCATGATCTTTTGTGTTTCTGCAGTGTCAGTTGTTACTTCTCCTTTTTCATTTCTGATTCTATTGATTTGAGTCTTCTCCCTTTTTTTCTTGATGAGTCTGGCTAATGGTTTATCAATTTTGTTTATCTTCTCAAAGAACCAGGTTTTAGTTTTACTGATCTTTGCTATCATTTCCTTCATTTCTTTTTCATTTTTTTCTGATCTGCTCTTTATGATTTCTTTCCTTCTGCTAACTTTGGGGTTTTTTTGTTCTTCTTTCTCTAATTGCTTTGGGTGCAAGGTTAGGTTGTTTATTTGAGATGTTTTCTGTTTCTTAAGGTAGAATTGTGTTGCTATAAACTTCTCTCTTAGAACTGTTTTTGCTGCATCCCATAGGTTTTGGGTCGTCGTGTCTCCATTGTCATTTGTTTCTAGGTATTTTTTGATTTCCTCTTTGATTTCTTCAGTGATCACTTGGTTATTAAGTAGTGTATTGTTTAGCCTCCATGTGTTTGTATTTTTTACAGATCTTTTCCTGTAATTGATATCTAGTCTCATAGCATTGTGGTCAGAAAAGATACTTGACACAATTTCAATTTTCTTATATTTACCAAGGCTTGATTTATGTCCCAATATATGATCTATCCTGGAGAATGTTCCATGAGCACTTGAGAAAAATGTGTATTCTGTTGTTTTTGGATGGAATG